TGCAGGACGCAGGTGGACGAGCTGGTGGGAGTGGCTTGGCACCTCGCCTTGGGCCTGTGGCAGAAAGAACCTTCACAGCGGCTTGTTTACTCCCAGGAGCTGTGTGTCTCTGAAGGGCTGGTGCTTTGTGTGTCCAGGAGAACCTAAAGGGATCCAATTTTTTTGTTTGTTTTTATTTTTTGAGATGAAGTTTTGCTCTTGTTGCCCAGGCTAGAGTGCAATGGCGTGATCTCGGCTCACTGCAACCTCCGCCTCCGGAGTTCAAGCGATTCTCCTGCCTCAGCCTCCCAAGTAGCTGGGATTACAGGTGCCCGTCAGCACGCCCAGCTAATTTTTGTATTTTCAGTAGAGACAGGGTTTCACCATGTTGATCAAGCTGGTCTCGAACTCCTGACCTCAGGTGATCTGCCCGCCTCTGCCTCCGGAAGTGCTGGGAATACAGACATGAGCCACCACGCCCGGCCAGGGTTCCAATTTTAAAGAGAACTCTCCTGTCCAGGGAGGTCTGAGGGCAAGCAGTTAGGACTGAGGCCGCAGGGAGGAGCCAGGCCTGCAGTAGACCACATGCATGCTGCACACCTGGGCTTGGGAGACCACCAGCTTTTAACCCTGACTCTGCAATGTCTGAATCCTGTCACCTGGGCAGATGTCTTTACCTCAGTTATTCCTCTGTAAAATTTGAGTGTAATTTTGACTGCCTAAACGTTTCCAGAATGTTGAAAAGAGTTGTGAAGTGCATAGCACTGTGCCTCACATAGAGTTAAACTGTGATTATTGCCTTTGTCTTACAAGGTGAGTTGCTCCAGGGAAAAGAGCCCTGTGCCTGGTGCCATGCAGACCTTTATGCACGGTTCTGGGTGACAACGTCACTGCCTTGTGGCAGGATTAAGATAGAAGAGTTGGGCCCTGAACAGACAGGATTTGCTCACCTAACTCCTATTCACCCTTCCAGGCCCAGGTGACGTGTCCACTTATCATGTTTTCTGACCTGCTGCCCTGGGAGGATTTGCCTTTTCCTCCTTGGACTCCTGTGGACCCATTGCCCCCACCCCACCCCACTCTGGTAACACTACATCGTGTGGTAGACTTTCTTCCCATGTCTAACTCACACATCTGATGCTGTTCTTTAAGCTCTTTTCAGAAAAAGCCCCTTGTCACATTTCCCCTGATCTTTCCCTTCCGTGTCATGTCCTGTTGCATTTTTAGGGCACAGACATCTGGTTCAGGGGATATCATCTCCCGTGAGTACACAACAGGCCCAACATGTTTGTGTCTCCCCAAAGGTGAGATTCTTTCTGCTCTCCTGCAGCTAAATTCTGTCTCAGGCTACCCTCCTCTACGAATCTGGTTGTAAACTCTCTTGAATGTATCGGGCCCTCTGTATCAGCAGACTTCTTCCTGGCAACCCTGGGCCAAAGCTCCAGGAGTGAATGCCAACAACTTCAGTGAGCATTTCCTTGGAGCAGCTCAACTCCCTGTGCACGGGTGGCACTTGCCTGGCATTGTGCTCTGAGACCTCTTTACCATCAGGCCAAGCAGTATCAGAGACATACTGAGACCACAAGGCTCCTGTGGCTGGAAGCAGGGTTCAACTCATTTCGTGCTTCTTTAACCAACATCCCTGAGCTTCTAATTAGGGGCTGGGCTCTACTTGGGGCCTATAGAGATGAGTTCAACCGCTGGCCCCTTGAGCTCCTGGTGAGCGGGGTTACCAGTGAAGACTATCCCAGCGCCCAGGAGTGCACGCGGCACTGGGAGCAACAAGCAGGGATGAGTGACTGCCACACAGAGGCCTGCGTGTGTCAGGAGGACAGTCCAAGGAGGAATAGAACTGGCAAAAGCAAAGAAGAAGGTGGGGAAGGAAGGATGTGGCGTGTGATCATGGGATGTGTTTGGAGCATGAGGTATGTGGAAGGCCAGAGGCAAAGTGACACAGAAGGACTCTAGGAAAGGAAGCCAGGGTCAGCTTCGGGAGGGTGCGTTTGCTGGTTAAGGAGCTCTCCCTTTCTTCACCCACATTGGGCCCTTGTGTGTGCCACACATGTTGCTAGACGCATAGTGCTGAACAAAACAGACACCATTCCGGCCTGTGTGACGCATATAGTCTAGTGGGAAAAAGAGACATTCGTCAGATAATCACACAAAGGTAACATCTGTGCAGAGTTCCTGAATAGGATAGTGATGTGGTCTGGTTTGCATTTTAGAAAGCACTCTAGCCAGAAGAGTTGGAGTAGAATGGGAGGGATGAAACAGGAGAGGAGCATGGAGTTAAACCTCCACCATGGTTTAAGCCTGTCCAGGCGTGCGCCAAGGTAGTGAGATGGAGAGCCAGGAGTGAGCGTGAGACAATTCTCAGGTAAAATAGGAAGGAGTTAGGAAGTCTGATAGGTCCAGTGTGGGTAACCGTGGAAAATGACAGTTAAGAAAAAAACAAAAATAGATTTGGGGCACAGTCTTGATGGGATAGTAATTGGAAGTTTCAGGCTATTTTGAGTTTGAGACGCCAGTGGGCCATCAGGTGGAGGCTGAGATGGATGGGTATAGAGCTTCGGAAAGGTGTCTGAGCTGCCAGGATTTGTCAGGAGTCGTCAGTGTATGAGTGGTGCTGGGTGCATGGATGAGATCACCTGGAGAGAGAATTAATTGCCCTGCTCTGGTCCCAAGAGTGAGAACAAAACTTCCAAGCCACAGGAATGGAATTCTAGCTGGGCTTCTGTTAGTTATCACTAGCTGGTTTCTTGGCTATTGAGCAAGGAAGATATAAACCCATGCCAACATAATAAATGGAACATAAAGCTATTTTTCCCAAGGAACTAGTGTGGGTTTTTGTTTTGTTTTGTTTTTTTCTTGTACACAAAGTAAAGTTTACATTGTTTTCCTTCTCGCTGCAGCAGCCAGGAAGTTCAGAGCTAATTTTGTAACTTAACTTAGAAGCCACATAGGACCTACACACCCAGCTACTTTTTTCCCAAATAAATACTTTTTATATATCTGTGTATTTTGCAGGCCTGATGTTTTTCTTTGTTGTTTTAGATGCTCATATACGCTGCCTCAGATCATTTGTAAAATTAGGTAGGGTGCAACTGTATAAAAATAAATATTCTCCTTACCCTAATATTTTTGGGTCATCTTCACAGCCCTTGTGCAATAAGTCTGCCCAGTTTCTGAGTTAATATTGGCTAGATTTAAGCAGGAAGAACTCTTAGAACTTACAGAAGCTCGACAGTAAATTTAACACTCATGCAACTCATTAAAATAGGATAAAAGTGGAGCTTCAAACATCTCTGTGTTTGCTACCAAGGCTGGGGGGTGGGGTGTTACCCTTAATTCAGCTCAAGATCTGAAAGTCTGATCTTTCAGAATTGAGAATACACCGCTGAAATTAAAGACTTGTCTGTGTAGATAAGCACTCCAGACGTGTTCAAAGAAAGATTAAGGTGTTAACTCTATACGGATAGGATTTTTTTTTTTAAACTCAGGGTATCGTCGTCTTGACTCATAAAATATGGTTTGGTAAAAGCAAACTTGCTTATCAAACAGCGTAAGCACAAAATCGATTGGATAGTATATTTTATTTTTTATCATCCCTGTTCTTTAAAATAATTATTTTAAAATTTCAGTTCGCTATTGGTTAGGATCACTGTGTAAATGGTCTTCAAAGTATGTCCCACAGCCAGTGGCCTAGGGACTGCAAAGATGCCTGCAATGTAGGGGGGTGAGAAGGTGGCTAAGCCTGGAGAACCCAGCCGCCACCCCTGCTCTACGCCCAGGTTCTCCAGAGCAGCTGAGCTCTGCATTATGGAGCTCAGGTAACAGGGTTCCTTCTATGTAACTTTTTTTTTTTCTTTTTTGAGATGGAGTCTCTGTTGCCCAGGCTGGAGTGCAATGGCGCCATCTCATTTCACTGTAACCTCTGCCTCCCAGGTTCAAGCGATTCTCTTTCCTCAGCCTCCCGAGTAGCTGGGCTTACAGGCGCCTGCCAATACACTCGGCTCAGCTCATTTTGGGGTTTGTTTTGTTTTGTTTGAGACAGAGTTTCGCTCTTGTTGCCCAGGCCGGAGTGCAATGGTGTGATCTCAGCTCACCGCAACTTCCGCCTCCTGGGTTTAAGCAATTCTCCTGCCTCAGCCCCCGAGTAGCTGGGATTACAGGCATGAGCCAGCATGCCCCGCTAATTTTGTAATTTTAGTAGAGGCAGGGTTTCTCCATGATGGTCAGGCTGGTCTCAAACTCCTGACCTCAGGTGATCCACCTGCCTCGGCCTCCCAAAGAGCTGGGATTATAGGCATGAGCCACCACGCCTGGCCTAGCAGGGCTGCTTCTGCATAAAATCCTATCTGAATAAAGGGTTCTGCTGCTAAAAGAGAAAAGTTTGGAAATCTTCACATTGGAGGGCATGTCTCCCTAAATAGCCCTTGGGGTATGGAAGGGGAGATGGGGTGTAGAATCTGACTGTTGGTTCCTGCTCTGCCGCCCACCCTCTCTGTGACTTTGCAGGATGACTCTTCCTCTCTGAAACAGCTTCCTCATCCATAAAGGAAATGAATTCCTTGATAATAGCTACTGCACTCATGAGGGTTAGAAAAGTTAGCAGATGGGGGCCAGGCAGAGTGGCTCACACCTATAATCCCAGCACTTTGGGAGGCCAAGGTAGGTGGATCACTTGAGTTCAGGAGTTTGAGACTAGCCTGACCAACATGGTGAAACCCCATCTCTACTAAAACTACAAAAATTAGCCACTCATGATGGGGTGCACCTGTAATCCCAGCTACCCGGGAGGCTGAGGCAGGAGAATGGCTTGAACTTGGGAGGCAGAGGTTGCACTGAGCTGAGATAGCGCCACTGCACTCCAGCCTAGATGACAGAGTGACACTCCATCTCAAAAAAAAAAGGAAAAGAAAAAAAAAATAGCAGATGGGGAAGCTCTGGATATAGGAATTTCAGAACTGATGGCTCTTACACTATGCCAATGACCCTCGTCTCCCCTCTGCACTTCCCAGGAGGAGCCGATCACTTTCTGTGAGGAAGCCTTTGTGTCCCACTACCGCTCCGGAGCCATGAGGCAGTTCCTGCAGAACGCCACGCAGCTGCAGCTCTTCAAGCAGGTGCCACCCTCCTTGGTCTGGCCTGGGTCTGGCTCCCTGGCGGGGATTTCTGCGGCTATCTCCACTCTAAGCACTGAGGCCACAGGCATGGATGGGACTCAGGCCCCAGGCAAAAGAGGCTCAGGGGAGGGGGATTGGGTGAAGAGGGCAGTCGCTGACCAGGCAGACCCTTTGCAGATCTGCCATGTGGTTTTCCAAGTTATCATAAACATGCAGCCGGTATTTTAGAAAGAAACTTGCCTGTTGAACCTTACTTTTAGAAAACTCCTACCTTGGATACAGTAAGGTGCCCAGCTGAATGGTTTTTCCCCCTTTTCTTCATAAGAGCTGTTGTGCTTTTGTTCTTTCTTTCTATAGTTTATTGATGGTCGATTAGATCTTCTCAATTCCGGCGAAGGTTTCAGTGATGTTTTTGAAGAGGAAATCAACATGGGCGAGTATGCTGGTGAGAAGCATCTCATTTTCCTTCCGGGGCTGCAGGCCGCCATCGTATAGGGCATATTTGACAAGGAGTGGCAGTGACTTGCTTTTCCTTTACTGGGGCTTAGGAAGAGACTGATTTCAAGCTTGGCCTTGAAATGTTTGAAGAATTCCTCTTCGTTTTCTGACAAAATGCACACTGGCCCATATGAAATCCCGCAGCCTAGGGTTAGTTGCTTCCCCTGTGTAGACAAAGTCTAGTTAAAGTAGTGGCCAGCGTGGTCCACTGGGAAGCACATGCAGTATTCAGTTAGGAGGCCTGGATTCAAGCCAGGACTCTGTCTCCTCACAAGCTGCGAGACCCTGGGTGAGTCATTTCCCCTCCTTTAGCTAAAGTTCCTATCCATGCCCTGAGAGTACCATGTCCTACCTCACAGGATTCCTTTTGAGATTAAATCAGAGTATATGAGGGAAGATTTGTACAGTCATCCAGGACAGTCCCTGGCATGGGGACCGTGTACAGTAAGCTTTTTTTTTCCTTTTTCTTTTCTTTTCTTTTCTTTTTTTTTTTTTTTTGAGACAGACTCTTGCTCTGTTATCCTGGCTGGGTACAGTGGCATGATCTCCGCTCACTGCTGCAACCTCCGCCTCTCAGGTTCAAGTGATTCTCCTGCCTCAGCTTCCCGAGTAGCCGGGATTACAGGCATGTGTCACCATGCCCAGCTAATTTTTGTGTTTTTAGTAGAGACGGGGTTTCACCATGTTGGTCTGGCTGGCCTCAAACTCCTGACCTCAGGTGATCCACCCACCTCAGCCTCTCAAAGTGCTGGGATTACAGGCGTGAGCCACCACACCCAGCCCTGTTTCTTTAAAATATGACAAATTATTGCTGAGTGCCTGGTCTGTGTAGATCTGAAGAACTGAAGGGCTTGTCTTCTCATTTTTCAGAGGAGGTATCTGAGGCCCAGAGAGAGGTGTTGGTGGCTGAGTCGGCCTCCTGAATGCCAGTCTGACCGTTCCAAATCCCATTGCCTCAGTCTTTGGCAGCAAAGGCAAAACCAGATGCAGAATAACACCCATGCTGCTGGCTGGTAGTAGTCCAGAGTAGACACATACCCCTTTTATTGCTGGGTGTGTGTCTATTCTGGACTACTGTGATAATCCAATTGGCAGTTTTTAAGCTCACAGAGCAAGGCACAGTATCCACCTATAAACGTTGCAGGCCCTTCCAGCCTGTGCTCTGTGGAAAGCACAGTTAAGAAAATTACCATGAAGTCTACAAACAGCAATAGCCAGTCGCTGATAAGCGTTTCCTGAACACCTGCTATGTCCAGTGCCCCATGGAGTAAAAAGCAGAGGACCCAGTTCTGCCCTCAAGAAGTGTTAGGTAGGAGAGAGAAATGCATGACTAAAGACAAACAAATTAAACCAGTGCAGGAAAAGGAGTAGAAACAGATTTCGGTGCAGTTAGAATAGGGCTCTGTTAATCCTCACTGTGTGATGTGAGGGCTTAACAAAGGAGGCCAGGCTAGAGTTGTGTTCTAATGGTTGCATGTGAGTTCCAGGAGAACAGGCTTTAGGTGTTGCTAAACTGAGTTCACTTATTCAGTGGATTAAGACTCACCATTTAAAATGAACGGAGTTTACCAACAACACCTCCGTTTTCTTTCCGTCTCACTCTCTGAGGGTTCAGTGTGTGTCCAGCAGGGTCCTTTCAATGGGACACACAGCCCTGGGGGTCCCTGCTGTGGTGCCCCTCACAGTACTTCCCAGAATATGGATGTCTCAGTGGCTGTTAGCTATTCCAGAGGGCTGTTCAGAGGAAGAAGCTTGCAGAGGACATCACATCTGAGCTGCCTGCCACGTTTACTAAGCAGAGAGAGTAGGGTGTGGTGACTAGGCAAGGGAGCTGTATTTGCAAGGGCCTGGAGGCCTGCGAGGATGCTGGCTTACAGACCCTGTGGTCCCTTAAGTAGTTCCCTGTGGTGGGACGTAAGGTGATGCAGCGTCACAGCAGCACAGGATGGAGAGCTCACGAGGCACAACTGGACGAGAGTGGCGGGGCGGCCTCGGAGCCTGACCTCCAGCCAGCAGGCAGCGGGGTGGTGGCTGAGTTTGCAGTCAGGGCACTGCGTGATCGGCTCTGTTTGAGAGGGAAACCTGTGGCAGTGGCTCGCTGCCGCCTCCTTTAAGAACAGGATGTGGGACCCTCCACAGGGATCCCCAAGTCCTGAATGCAGAAAGCAATTTCGGCCAGTCGTGCTGGCTCATGCCTGTAATCCCAGCACTTTGGGAGGCCAAGGCGGGTGGATCACTTGAGGTCAGGAGTTCGAGACCGGCCTGGCCAACATGGTGAAACCCCGTCTCTACTAAAAATACAAAAATTAGCCAGGTGTGGTGGAACCCCGTCTCTACTAAAAATACAAAAATTAGCCAGGTGTGGTGGCGAGCACCTGTAATCCGGGAGACTGAGGCAGGAGAATTGCTTGAACCCAGAAGCTGAGATCGCACCAGTGCACTCCAGTGTGGGCGACAGCGTGAGACTCCGTCTCAAAAAACAAAAAAGCAATTTCAAGGACTCCCAAGGACAAATCACCTCTTTAAGTAACAGCTTCTCTGACTTCTCTTTCCCCAGGCAGTGACAAACTGTACCATCAGTGGCTCTCCACCGTCCGGGTAAGCGTGCACCCAATTCTGAGCCCCCTGGACTCCCGCCTTAGCTTCCTGGCAGCCTTCCGCTTCCCTGTACTTCCCCTTCCATCCCGAAGCCCTCCATTCTCTCTGCTGGAGATGCCTTTGTTTGTAAAGCCAGGCTCTTCTCATGCCAGATGGAGGCTAGAAGGGTGGGATTGTCCAAAGCCATCACTTGGTGGGGTCAGAAAAAGACATGAGAGGCTTCCTCCTCTGCAGGAAGCCAGCCAAGGAAAACTGAATGGAATGTTGCTGTTTTAGAGCATTTGGGGGTCTCCTTCTAGAGCCAGAGCAATTGTCACAATCACAGGCAAACCAAAAATGTGCCATCTTGCTGCTGTGTAACCTCTTTCACGGCAAAGGCTCCTGGGAAGACGGAGAACACATAACTGGGAGGTTGACCGTTGTCGTGAAGTATCTTGATGTGTCAGAAGCCCGGGGCATAGGGCTTCTGAAGCCTCTAAAGAATTCGAAATACTGACTTTCCCTTCCATCAGTTTATAATTGAGGTGTCCTGAAGGCCTACTGTGTGCCAGGCACCATGCTGAGTACTAGGGATGCAGCAGGGAGCAGGGTACAGGCCCTGCCCTGGGGGAGCTCCCTGTCTTGCTGGGGAGGCGGGCACGAAGCAGGCAACTCCAGCATCAAGTGATAAGTGTTCCCTCCTGCTAATGCGTCAGTGCACTGCTGCCAGGCAAGTCCCTTGGAAGTGGCTGCAGTTGGCGGAGAGTAAGCAATTCCTTCATGAAAGACTTCCTTTGTTCCTCTTGTATGGCCAAACACAGCACTTGGCAAATCAGAGAGGAGTAATAAGGACTTGTTGATTGATTGATAAAGGGAGTTTCAATACTCCAAAGGACCATTTAAATGGGATACTGAGTAATTTTGGAAAGCAGTATGGAATAAATGAGTGGGTGAAAATTTCCCATTGTCCTACAACACAGAATGCTTTCTAGGTCAAATTGTAATGTTTTTAACTAAAGCTCAAAATTTCTAACGTGGGCAGTTACCAAAAATTTTGCTAAATGTTAAGACCAATAATTACATTACTATGTCTTATTCTCTTAGGTACCCACTGGTTCCAGCCTCTCTCCATCCGAATCAGTTTTTTTAAACCACCACAGACCTGATTCTGTGATGAATGTGATTAAAAATGCTCCATAGTGTAGACCCCTTAGCCTGGCATTCCGGGCCCTTCACGAGCTGGCCTCATCTGGCCTCCCAGCCTCACTTACTGCTTCTCTGATGATACACTCATGGGAGTGTGTCATGGTGCAGTACAGGAGCCACTTGTTACAGCATACGCCATGGCTTTTCAGCTTCCACATTTTCTTTTATGTGCTATTTCCTGTCCCTAGAATGTTCTCCTCCCATCTCCTACATCAACTCCTATTTATCCTTCATGGACCAAGTCCAGTGTTTCATCCTCCAAGGCCTTCCCTGATCTTCCAAGTCTCCATGCTCCCTGTGCACACAGCCATTAGAGCCATCATCACCTGCTATTGTAATTATTTACTGTGCTGTCCCACCTCTCCAACTGGAGGTTTTGGAAGGCAGAGACCAGGCCTCCCTCGGCCTGGTGCCTTCAGAACCCTCACGACGTGTCTGCAGGGATGAGACTGAGAAACGGATTCACGGACAGCTATGAAAACGTGCCCTGTGCACTTCAGGTCCCTCCACTGCCTCCTTTCGGAGCGGGAGGGCCTTCCCTCCTCCTTCCTCCCACTTTTGCTCCTAAAGAAAGTGAGCGAGTAATTGCTATGTCGGATTTAACTAAAGCCATGGTGAACATTTGTGGCTATTCATTCTTTCCTTTTCTCAAGATTTAGATGTTAAGGAAGGCAGCCTACCAGAGAGATATAAAAAAACAACACAGAAAACCAAGGCAAGAAAAGGAAGTTGCACGGTGAGGGCAACGTATTTCCCAACGATCCTGGCTGATCAGGGCCCCTCTTTCTGCCCCGGCTTGGTGTCAGCTGTGGAGTCCATGGTTATTAAACCTACCTGAGTGTCATCCGTGGTAACTAGAATGTCTTGAAAAGCCACAGATGCCCATAGGGAAGCCCTTGCCTTAGGCAGCCTGTGATGCAGTTCCCTCCCGCCAGGGAACAGGTGCCAAGCAGAGCACTGAGTCTAGAGTCCCCCTCCGCCAATTCACACTCCTCATCCCCAGTCCACACACACCCACCCACCCACAGCTCCCACCCAGAGCCCTTCCGCCAGGACCATAACTGACTGGCTGGGACCAGCTATCATCCAGGCCTCTTTCTCGATGTGCATTTACATACCTTTGAAATGTTGCTTAGCCTGATTGAAGAGAAGCACTCTTTGTTGGTGTTGGATGACTCTGTCTTCAGCCCAAATTGCTAATTGACATTTTTATTATAGAAAGGAAGTGGAGCAATTCTGAATACTGTAAAGACCAAAGCAAACCCGGCCATGAAGACTGTCTACAAGTTCGTAAGTACTGGTCTTGCTCTCAGGAGCCAAAACAGATCAGTCCCTTAGCATGATGAGACTCTTTATTTATTTACTTATTTTTGAGACAGGGTCTTGCTCTGTTGCCCAGGCTGGAGTGCAGTGGTGCGATCACAGCTCACTGCAGCCTTGACCTCCAGGGCCCAAGCAATCCTCCCACCTCAGCCTCCCCAGTACACCAGGAACTACAGGTGTGCACCACCACACCTGGCTTTTTTTTTTTTTTTTTAGACAGCCATGTCTCAGTATGTTACCCAGGCTGTTCTTGAACTCCTGGGCTCAAACAATCCTCCTGCCTTGGCCTCCCAAAGTGCTGGGATTACCAGCGTGAGCTGCTGCACCCAGCCAAGCGATGAGACTCTTAAGTATACCTGGTCCTCTGTTGCAGAGATGACTCAGGCTGCCGAGCTCTTTCCTGAAGTTCTCAATATTCTTCAAATTATTTAGCAGATTATTATAACCGGTTCAGTGACATTTTTGATTTATAGTGTTGGTGCTCACATTTGCCACAGTAGAGAAATGGGAGGCTACTGGTTTTAGCTTTTAAAATGCAGACTAGGTGGCTGCACCCTGCCTCTGTTTCTGAGACCCAGAAGCATGGTCTATCTGGTGTCTGGCAAAGCCTTCCTGCAGGCATCCCCATTATTGGGTCAAAATAAAGCAGCTCCTTTGCAGGTTACTGAAGAGTGTTTGTGGTGGCATACACCACTTAATTTTTATCCCAAATTCTTCATCATCTCTCTGATCACTGCCCTATAGGAAATGCATTATTTGTAAGACTCGTGTCCACAGCCGAGTGAAAACAGGAGAGCACATCTGTTCCCGGCGCTCCGTCTTTCACAAGCATCGAGTATTTTTTCTTGTGACTTCTCTTGCTTGCTAATTTGACCGTGAGCCACTGAAGCGGGGTGGTTTTATTTTATTTCCATTTTTAATTGTGTTAGTCCTCTCTGTGCTTAAACTGTGGTTATTTTAGCAGGGTGGGTGGCTGCCAGCAGAACCACACAGGTCTAAAATGACCTGAAATCAAAGCCAGGGTGTCTGCCAAAATGAGATTTAGGAAATGGCACTTTAGAAACCCAGCAATGTGTCTGTTCCAGCCATTCAGCCTGGGCAGAAAATCGGTCCTGGGGCCGTGCCCTGGTGAAATAGAATGGATATTCTGAATCTTCCAGCCAGAAACACGGCTGCTGTACTCTTACTGGTAGCTGTCACCAGGCTGCTGAGATAAATAATTATAGAGAGCAAAAGAAGGGCTTTGGAAGGGAAAGAAAAAAAAATCTGTGCCATCAAAATGCAGAAAATAAAATCTCTCCAGCCTCTTCAGGGTTTTTTTTTTTTTTTAACCTTTTGCTGTTATATTTGTTTTCATAGCCATTATGTTTTCGACTTGATGATCCCATTTTTCCTTCCTTTTTCTAGTAATCAGAGAAGGTGATTCTCGACGGACTGAAATCAAGCATAGTCCCTGCTGGAAACAGAAAGGGAATCTTAACTTAAATTAATTTTTCATGCAGGCAAAAGATCATGCAAAAATGGGAATAAAAGAGGTGAAAAACCGCTTGAAGCAAAAGGTACTTGAAGTTCTTATTCAAAATGTATAAGCACCATGTATGAAATGCATGGCCACAAAAAAGTATGAGGGGATCAATAGAGGGCTGTTTGATACAGTGTTGTTAACACACTTCAAAATGCATTACCAGCTGTCCGGGAGTTTTCACACTGTTATAAATATTCACAGACAAAAAACTGTCTTCAAATAACATTAAGACTCTGGCTTAAACCCACAAAGGCGAGCAAGTTCAGAGTTACCACTGTCGGGCTGTCCCTTGCCCACCCCACCAGGCCTGGGTTCACAGGCGTCTGTAGAAATTGGCTTGGTGTTCCCATCTGGCATCCGCCCACCCCCTATGGCCGACCTCTGCCCTAGGGCCGGTTGTAACCAAAACCAAGGAGCATCTCTGGGGAATGATTGCCAGGGTCCAGCATGCACATGGCCACCGCCCAGACACAGCACAAGGGGTGGGGCTGAGCAGAATGCTGTGGGCTTACCTCGCCCTGGAGGACCAAGTGAGCGTAACCCAGTGGGCGCTGTTGAGACTCTGAGTGTGGAGGGGAGTGCTCTGATTGTCTTCACCCAGCTATGTCCTAGCTAAGATTTCCCCAGCCCGAATCTCTTTTTTTTTCCTTTCTTTTTTTAATCTGACATTTTTTTTGTATTTTATTTTATTTTAATTTTTTTATTTCCATAGGCTTTTGGGGGAACAGGTGGTATTTGGATACATGAGTAAGTTCTTTAGCTATGATTTGTGAGATTTTGGTGCACCCATCACCTGAGCAGTATACACTGAACCCAATTTGTAGTATTTTATCCCTCACCCCCTTCCCAGGCTTTCCTTGAGTCCCCAAAGTCTATTGTGTCATTCTTATACCTTTGCATCCTCATAGCTTAGCTCCCACTTATGAGTGAGAACATACGATGTTTGGTTTTCCATTCCTGAGTTACTTCACTTAGAATAAGAGTCTCCAATCCCATCCAGGTTGCTGCGAATGCCATTAATTCATTCCTTTTTATGCCCCCAGATTGAATTTCTAGACTTAAGACAGTGAGGTTACTATAACAGGGAGGGCTTTTTTATATTATTATGAATGGCATCATCATCATTATTATTGTTGCCACCTTTTTTGGGGTTTTTTTTTTTTTTTTTTGAGACGGAGTCTCACTGTGTTGCCATGCTGGAGTACCTCAGCCTCCGAAGTAACTGGGACTACAGGCACACGCCACCACACCTGGCTAATTTTTGTATTTTTAGTAGAGACGGGGTTTCACCATGTTGGCCAGGATGGTCTCGATCTCCTCACCTCGTGATCCGCCTGCCTCGGCCTCCCAAAGTGCTGGGATTACAGGTGTGAGCCGCCGTGCCTGGCCTGTTGCCACACTTCTTTAAGCTCCTCTTAAGGGCGATCCAGGCTAGGAGCTTTCACACTTAGTCCTCAGAACAGCACTGTGAAGTATTGTTCCCATTTCGTGAGTAAACAGACCACAGTTCAGAGGTGAAGTCATTTGCCCAGGGCCACCCTGAGCCTAGCAGAGCCAGAATTGGATTCCAGCTCCGTCGACATCTGGTGGCTGTGTGCTCTTACTGCTATTGCATTGCACACTGCCTTCCTCAAACAAGTGTTTTGTTTTCCAAAAGATGTTTGGGATCACCTACTTCATTATCCCTATGCCCCCAAACGTACCACTCTAATAAGGCCCTTTGTCTAGCTCTGCAGTTTTTAAAAAATTGAAAGCAGTTTTAATTTTCTGAAGTCAGAAAGGACCTCTAATTAACTTGAAAGGGTCGAAGGAATTGATTCCTTTCTTTTAATTGGAAAATAATTTGCTCTGACTAAGCATTTAAATTCTTAGTTTCGGCTGAGAGTGGATTTTTAACAGCTGAGATTCACATCCTGAAATAAAAGCTCTGTAATGTAAATCCAGATAGACCTTAAACTGTAGTCTGTTTGCACCCTGCCAGAGACTGGCAGGTGGCATTCTTTACTTGGATGTTATTTAAGTCCCTAAATATACCTTTTTATCTCCCATCCCAGTTGCATGTAGCCGAATTGGATTGCAGACATAAAACGGAGTGGCAGGGAATGGGGAGTTTTCCCTCCTTGATGCCTGGATCGTAGGCTCTGCTTGGTATTAGAATATCCCCTGAAGTAAGCAAAGAAAGGGGCCCCTCCTCAGGCAAAGGCCCCATGCGCCCTCATTGGTCAGATCCACTCTCTGCAGACCATTAAGCTACAGACATCACCTTACCTCCCTACTTGTATGTGCAAGCCTCTGGCCTTAGGAAAATCCCCTTCTTATGATAAGTAACATTTCTGCAAATAACCAGTTAAGCTCAGATTTTTTTAATGTGGTTGTTCAAAGGTTTGTTTAAACAGTCTAGATCACTTTCCTTCCACGCTCTCTCCCTTTCCGTTCCTTGGTAGTATCTAAAGCAGATGTCTCCCTCCCCTTCCCTTCCCCCTGCCAGTCTTTTCAAGAATAGCTTCAGGAGATAATGTTCTATAGAGAGTGTCAGTACATTTCAGGTGACACAAACGGTGAAGGCATTTTATAGAAATGTGGCTTGTCACCATTGGACTGTTGACAGATCTATTAGTGCACCCTTTTCAATTTTCACTTTTCCCCCCTTCGGTCGTACAGATTTCCACAGACTTGGTATTTTGCAGTTGTTCTTGGAAGAGAGCTATTTTGTCATTGAAACTCTAGCATTGTTCGCATCTACGGGACTTGGGGCTCCAGCACTCTCCAGCGCTCTTTTTTGAGCTAATTTAGGATCTGGCTGCACCTGACCTCTCACATAGCAGTAGAAAATATTTCCTTGGTTTTTTTGTCCTTCTCCCCTTTCCCTCTTCCCCTTTATCTGGCAACGAATGTACCTCGTGGCTCCCCAGATGCCTCTAATATAGACATCTCAAGTTTGGTTTCTGCCATGAAATTGAGGCAGTTTCCAACAAAGATCCAATTTTCAAATGTGCTGGGTTGCCACCTGGCCTCCTCTAACTCTGCATAGCAATGGTGACCTTGCAGATATAATCAAGAACCCAAGCTTGCCCTCTTCACCCTCGCCTTGGGTTTGAATTGCAAATAGAAAATGTGGGGCCGACCTGTGGAGAGGTCACCATGGTGTGTGGAGGGTCCATCTCTAATATGACTGAGCAGGGCCCCTTCTCCATCCCTTGTTCATTTGTGCTGCAGATTTTCAAAGCATTTGAAATCGGAGCTTTCAGGATATCCGTATGACCATTGGCAAATAATTGTTAATAGATCCGATGGTGTGGCTTTTTTCCATACCTGCTCTGCTTCAACCCAACAACAAAAAAAGAAGGATGGATAACATATTTCTCTAGATAAATGGAGCAAGGTGGTCAGCTTCTTCTATAGCTTGGCCTCCTTTGAAGTCTGACTTGCTCAAAATTAGGAAAAAGAAGAGATGGCAAAGATGCTACCCCGCCATTGCTTTCTAAGGATGAGTGTAGTGCTTTCATCTGGAGTGTCTCCCTGCCAGTAGAATGCCTCCTGGATGGCTCGTGACTGTCAACAAACTGCCTTCCCCTGCAGCACCGTGCAGGGCTGGCATGAGAATGCCCCGCTTTAAAAGCAGTGGCCGCAAGTACATTTCTCCTCACCTGCAGGCAATGTTAAGACAGCCACATAGGGATGTCCTCTTTTGCCTATTGAGGAACCCCTGAAATTTTTCTCTTTCTTCTTCGGTATCAAAATGATTTAGCCAAATGGGCCCATTTCACAGCCCTTTGTAAAGTTTCTGAATCTTTGATCCTCTTCTTTTCTTTTTTTTTTTGTTTTGTTTTATTTTGTTTTGTTTTGTTTTTCTTTGTTTTGAAACAGGGTCTCACTCTGTCTCCCAGTGCAGTGGCACAATCACTGCAGCCTTGACCTCCCAGGCTCAAGGGATCCTCCTGCCTCAACCTCCAGAGTAGCTAGGACAACAGGCATGCACCACCATGCCTGGCTAATTTCTTTTAGGGACAGAGTTTTGCTGTGTCGCCCATACTGGTCTCAAACTCCTGGGCTCAAGTGATCCTCCCTCCTGGGCCTCTCAAAGTGCTGGGATTACAAATCTTTGATCTTTAAAAGACAAATCGAGCTTGTTGATTTAGAGTCTCTGTGATTGAAAGGAGCAAATTCACAGCTGCTTTCACAGAGGCTTGAATTTCTGGCCAAACTGTTCCCATTGAAGGGAGTGAGTAAGCATGCGTGGGGCAGGGCGAGCTAGGTAGACTCTGGTAGAAGAGACGTTTTCACACCTTATCACACAACTGTCAGCTCCCTGTCTCCCGACACATTAAAATACGCTGCAGCCTCAATCACAGAAATTCCAACTTTGGTTACTATTTTGATATCAATATTCATATTTTAATTTGCATTTGCTGTGCTGTGAGGTGGCCTGGGAAAAGAAGGGTGCGGCACGAGTCTGTAAATGGAGATGGGAGTTCTCACACCCGCAGCGTGAGTCAGACGGGAAGGCCTCTGCCCATAGGGGCCTCTCAACTCCCCCACATGGTGATACGGTGTTTGGGCTTCTGAGGCAGGCAAGCTGGGCTCAGTGCTGGTTGTGTAGGATATTAACCGTGTGACGTTGGGTAAGTTACGAGACCTCTCTGAACCTAGTTTTTCTCATCTGTTAACTAGAGGAGATACAGGTCTTTGCTGGATCGTTGGAAGGAGTGGAAAAGATAATGTGTTGAAATAGCAACACTTAGTAGCCACTGAATAATTGAGAGTTTCCTTTTGTCTGTCTTTTGTTTGTATTTGAGATGGAGTCTTACTCTGTTGCCCAGGCTGGAGTGCAGTGGTGTGATCTCAGCTCACCACAACCTCCACCTCCCAGGTTCAAGTGATTCTCCTGCCTCAGCCACCCGAGTAGCTGGGATTACAGGCAGCCACTGCACCTGGCTAATTTTTGTATTTTTGTAGAGACGGAGTTTTGCCATGCTGGCCAGGCTGGTCTCGAACTCCTGACCTTAGGTGATCCGCCCGCCTCGGCCTCCCAAC